GGTGTGGTTGTGGGTTGGCCTTAGGGTTTGCGATTTTAAGTTTAGGGTTTAGGCTTTAAGGGTTTGGGGTTTCGGGTTTCGGGTCTTAGGGCTTTGGGTGGGGGGAGGGGGGCGAGGGCTCGCACAGCGCACCCCCCCCCTCCCCCCCAACTGAAGAGGCTCCAAGGACCCTCCCACAGAGGGACTGGTGACTTCTGGCGTTTTGCGACCGAAATGTAGCTCCAAGCTGAAAGCTGTTGGGTGTTTTGGATTAGAAGCAGCCCCCCTAAACCTTATAGACCACGGACTGAGGTTGAGCTGGAGGCCAATTTTCCAGTATGGGCCCTAAACCCTAAACCCTATGCCCTGAACCCTAAGCCCTATGGGCCCTGGGCCCTAGAAATTGGTTCTGCAAGGCCGCCTTGTGGCCCATACATAGAATTTTGTCGGTTTAGAAATCCACCTACGGCCCTAAGGGTTTAGGGTTTTTGGGTTTTAAGGTTTAGGGTTTAGGCTTTGGGGTTTAGGGGTAAAAATCAGCCCGGAAAGCCCTAAACCCTAAGCCCTAAAACCTAAGGGACCCTACAGAATTGGCTAAGGAAGAAAACTCCAGAATCTGCCACCCCCAGCCCTAAACCCTAAACCCGAAAAGCCTGGAGGACGTGGAGACGGCTGCCGCCAAGGCGGCTGATGGTGCAGGCTCAAAGTGGGTTTTTTTTCGAACATGAGGACCCCTAGGGTTTAGGGTTTAGGGTTTAGGGTTTTGGGTTTCGGGTTTTGGGTTTTGGTTTTGGGTTTAGGGTCTAGGGTATCGTAGTAGCTGAATGAGTACACTTTAAACTTTTTGGGGGTACTACATAGCCCCTTATCGAACTGAAAGTGTACACCTTTTTTGGGGGGCTTATGAACTCAGCAACCAGGTAATTAATATACAGCCCCAAAATATTAAGATTCCCTCGCCAAAAGGACCCCAATAAGTTACCCCAAATTTCGGAGAACCTTTGGCAGCAGAAGCCAGGCTCTGCTTGCTCTATATGACACAGGGTTTATATTACTGTTACTGGTGAGTGTCTATGAGGTTCCTGTTTATGTTGGTGAGTGTATATACCGGGTGTCCTTCTGGGGGTACAAGAAATATAAACCCTACTTCATATAATGAAGGACTAAAGGGTGACATCATGGGACCCTACTGTCGAACAGCAGCCCTTAGCACAGCACTTGTCCTCCACAGACGGCCAGGACATAGAGCGTAGCCAGAACAAGACGCGCGGACGTTGGATCTCTGCGCGCAAAAAACGTGGGTTTAGGGTTTAGGGTTTATAAGGGTTTAGGGTGTAGTGTGTAGGGTGTAGGGTTTAGGGTTTAGGGTTTAGGGTTTAGGGTTTAGGGTTTATATATAGTATGGCACCCTGGGAATAAGGACCCCAAAAGGGACCCAAGATTCCAGAAAACCAGCCGCATTGATATTCCAGGAACAGACGCAACTCCAAATTTGACTACCCTCTTTATCCAGACTGCACGAGGACCACAAATCCCGTTTCGATCACTCAGTTTCCTGTCTCACAGACGCAAGCGAATCTCTTTGTTAAGGGCAAGGAGAATCATCAGCGCGCGTCTACGGTTTGCAATTGCGGGTTTTGGGCTTCAGGGGGTTTGAAGTTCAGAAGTTGTGGGTGTATGGCATACTGTGTTTATAGGGGTTCGGGCTCCCGGTGTTTGGAGGGGTAGGGTTTATGATTCAGGGTTTGGGGGGCTTCCCTAAACCCTAAACCCTCAACCCGAAACCCTAAACCCTTTCAAGGGCATAGAGGTTTAGCTTTGCGGGTTTAAGCGTTATAGGGGGCACGTTTGGGGCTTCGGGGGGTTGAGGTTGGGATGTTCCCCCTTATACTAGCAGTCCTTAATAGGGATTACAATAGGGGGCGGGGGGGTACTAGAATCCCTATTAAGGATGGCTCGTCTAAGGGGGAAAATCCCAAGATTGAGGTTGGTTTCGTGCTTAAGGCTGGGATTTGTGGCCCCACTGGTGACCCCCTTGGCCCTGCCGCCCTGGGCTGGCAGCCTGATTCAACCAACATCAAAGTTTTGAAAAGTGGACTGTTGTCTGAGTTTAGGCCTAAACCCTAAAAGGAATAGGTTTGGTGGCTTTGCCGCCTTGGACGGCGTGAGGTGGGAGAAAAGTGTTACAATCAGGCCAAAGCTGCTCTTCAGCACCTCACGAAGCTTTCGAGCTTGTTCCGAAACCTAACCTTCACAGCATCTACGCCCTATCACAGCAAACCCGAAACCCTAAACCCCAAACCCCAAACCCTAAACCCTAAACCCCAAACCCGAAACCCTAAACCCTGAAAACCCTAAAGCCGAAAGGCCTCTCCTCCGACGTGGCCACCCCCTTGGTCCGTGCCGCGGCGGCACGTGCTGCAGCGAAGGTGGCTCCTTACACCATAGCCTCATGGATTCCCTACAACCCCCCCAATACTACCCCCCCCCCCCCCCCTAAACCCTAAACCCTAAACCCTAAACCCTAAACCCTAAACCCTAAACCCTAAACCCCCCCCTAGATAACCTAAAGTAGGGCCTGAATAGCCTTAAATCTGGGGGAGGGGGGCGGGAGTATAGAGGGGTAGTAGGGGAACCTACTGAAACCCCAAACCCTTAACATCCGTAAACTTTTTTGGGTTCAGTGCTTCGGGTGCATGTGAGAGTGTTTTGGCAGGTTGGGGTTTGTGCATGTTGGATGAGGCGTTGTCATAGGGCTTGGGCGGAGTGTTCAGGAGTTTAGGGTTTAGGGTTTAGGGTTTAGGGTTTAGGGTTTAGGGTTTACGGTTAGGGGTTACCAGGTAGGCCCTTGGGATGTCTTATATTGTTCCCTTATTGGCTTTCAGAGGATCATGTTCAGGCATATTTTTTCAGACGGTTTTAAGCTCCATCCTAGGTTAGGGAGTTTAGGGTTTAGCGTTTAGGGTTTAGGGTTTAGGGTACCCCTAAACCCTACACCTAAACCCTAAACCCTAAACCCTAAACCCTAAACCCTAAACCCTAAACCCTAAACCCTAAACCCTAAACCCTAAACCCTAAACTCCCTAACCTGCGATGGAGCTTAAAACCCTCTGAAAAGATTTCCCTGAACATGATCGTTGTCGGACTGCAAGGCTTAGGAGTTGACCGTTTTTGAGGTTTGGGATGGGGCGAGGGAGCATGGATTCTGTGGAGACTTGTTGAGTCTTTCTATCTTTAGGGTTTAGGGTTTAGGGTTTAGGGTTTAGGGTTTAGGGTTTAGGGTTTAGGGTTTAGGGGTTAGGGTTTAGGGTTTAGGGTTTAGGGTTCAGGGTTTCTGTGTGGTGCTTTCCTGTAACTTTAGATCCTTAGCCTTTTTGGGTTGATTGGGTTTCTGAACAATGCAGCGAAAGTTTCATTTAGAGCTACCCTCCTAAGTGCAGCCAAGTTATAACCCTAGATGTGAAGAATGCCCAAAGAAGCCTCGAGTGTCTAAGCCCATCCCACCCCAACTTAAGTCTCAGGTTTTAGAGTTTAGGTACCCTAAACCCTAAACCCTAAACCATAATTTCCTGAAGCCCTAATTCGCCCTATAGCAGTTGGGGAAATGCCAGGCGGCAAGAGCGGCCCAAGACGTAGCTCAGGCCTCCGCTGACCTCAACAGTTGGGACAGTTTGGAATTTTAGGGTTTAGGGCTTCGGGCTTAGGGTTCAGGGTGCAGGGTTCAGGGTTTAGGGTTTAGGGTTTGCGGGGGCTCAGGTTTTGCACTTTTTGGAGCTTTTTGGGATTAGAGGCTTCAGGCTTCTTGGGGTTTATGGTTCGCCTTGGACCCACAGAAGGGTGATCACTTTGTTTAAACCCCAAAGCCCTTCATCAAGGGGTTTGAGGCACCGACCCACACATTAACCCGAAACCCAACCCGACAACTCTACACCCTAAGACCCCAAACTCTAGACCCTCAACCCCCGAACCCTACACCCTAAACACTAAACCCTAAACCCTAGAACCCTACACCCCTGAACCCTGTCGCCCTCCAGTATGCAAGACTCCCAGGCTGCGGGGCATGCGGCAGGACCACCAGAGGCACCTGGCGCGCCCGAGCCGCCGGGACTTGCGAAGTCTCTTTGTCATAGAGGGGGTATTTTGTTTTCATGCTTAAGGGGTACTTAACTCAATAAGGAAGAGGAATTTACATGTTTAATGCTACCCCAACCATGGTTTAGTTTTCTTGTTATCTTTTTTGGGGGGCTTTGTTTGGGGGGTGGGGCGGGGTTCATACAGGGGTTTTAGGGTTATAGGCTTTGAGGGTTTGTGGTTTCGGGTTGAAACCTAAACCCTAAACCCCAAACCCCAAACCCTAAACCCCAAACCCTAAACCCTAAACCCAAAACCCTAGAAGATGAGTTTGCGCTTACAAGGCCCAGGTTCAGAGCTTGCTGGAGTTGAGGGTTTGACGGCCAGGCCTCTGCAACTAGGTGGGACGTTACAACAACTTTGTCACTTTATAGGTTTAGGGTTTAGGGTTTAGGGCTCAGGGTTTAAGATTCCTCTAATTTCAGATTTCAGGGAAGCAGCAACCAAGGCAACTTAGAACTCTACGGAAGATACCTCTGGAACTCGGAAACTTTCGAAGGTTTAGGATTAGGGTTTAGGGGGAGCTTGCTGCGTTCCATTTGGGGGTACCCCAATGAGGTTTCTGAGGAAGGGCGGGGTACCCTAAACCCTAAACCCAAAACCCTAAAACCTAAAACCTAAACAAAGGAGGGTTGGGCACCAGACGACACTCCTCCGATACTCCTCAGGGCTTCGGCGGATCGAAGCGGTTGATATCTTGAGGTTGGGATGTTCCCCCATATACTAGCAGGCCTTAATAGGAATTCTAGGACGCCCTGTTATAATCCCCATTAAGGGCTCTTAGTATAAGGGGGAACATCACAAACATCAGGGTTGAGGGTTTAGCTGTCAAACTCATGCTATCGGAAAGCCGTTGCATCAATCGCAGGCGCAAGCGGGAGTCATCTTAGATGTGCGTTTCCTTGGAGGCCACAATGACCGTTGTGGTTGGCAGCTCTGCGAGTCGTATGGAAGATGCTATGCCGACATTGAGTGGCCCAAGTCCCAAGGACCCTGGTGTCGCGGGCCCCACTTGGTGCATGAAAGTGCGCGAAGAAGGCGGTGAGTCGGCGAGCAGCCGCAACAGCAACACGCACACTTCGACCAAAACAGTCAGCACATGCTATGAGCCTTCAAGCCGCCGGGCAAGAAAGGGCAGCGGCACAGCGGTGTCGACACATGATGAGTGCAGCTCTGCATCGGAAGGTGAGCAAGGCGATGGAGCCTCTGGGTCCGTGGGCAGCATCTTGGCAGGCACAGTGGTGCCCTTTTTCCCCTCTTGTTGTTGGTTCAAGGTTCCCTTATACAGTAACCTACCCAAAGAAGGCTAACCCTAAACCCTAAATCCTAGACCCTAAGCCCTGATTATTATTCTGGTTCCTGGGCCACCAAGGCATGGTGCATCCCAAGCACTACAGGCCTAGTGCATGCCACACCTTGTCACATTGGTGCAGCCTTGCCGGAGGCAGCATGGGGCTGGCGACGACCGAGGCTTCCAGTCTGGAAGCATTGACGCAGCGTTTGAACGCTCTTGAGAGCTCGCTACCAGCAGACCTGGAGCAGGAAGAGGCGAATGATTTAAGAATGTTTGTGACGCCCTCGACTCCTGTGCTGTTTTGGTACAAGAACTTCTACACGCCCTGCCGCCTGGAGGTTGCTGTGGGTCAGAAAGTGGAGTTGCGTCCACTGGTATCTCATGCGCCCGGCTATGGTTTTGTGGTTTTCCCGACGCTTCCGCTTGGACTAGAGCTGGATGAGCGGTCAGCCTTGGTTCATGGCACTCCACTGGAGCCCACGCCAGGGCAAGTGACGTACCACGTTGTCGCCTCTAGGTGGGGACATTTTCCCTAAACCCTAAACCCTAAATCCTAAACCCTAAACCCTAAACCCTAAAACCTAAACATTTTTCCCTTGTTGGGTTCAAGAGGATCCTATTTTGGAATATTTTCCCCTAAACCCTAAACCCTACACTTTTAAACCAGAGGCCCATCCTAGGCCTATAATCCGGCGCAATTGCCGACGACATTGGATGATGCATTCTTCAAGCTCACCGTCGTCGACGTGTGGTCAGCTAGTGACGAAGAGGGCTCGGAGACGGGAGATGCTTCGTGTGATTGACTTCTAGGCAGGCCCTGTATTATCCCTGGTTTAAGAGGATCAGATATTGGAATATTTTCCCTAAACCCTAAGCCCTAAACCCTAAACCCTAAACCCATTATTGGGTTTAAGAGGATCATATTTTGGAACATTTTTCAGAGGGGTTTAAGGGCCCTCCTAGATTTGTCGTTTACAAGCTTAGTTTCCAGGTGGGACGAAACTCCTGGACACCCAAAATTTGCAGTTCAACAACAAGCACCGTTTAGGGTTTAGGGTTTAGGGTTTAGGGTTTAGGGTTTAGGGTTTAGGGTTTAGGGTTTAGGGTTTAGGGTTTAGGGTTTAGGGTTTAGGGCACAGGAACACAGTCTGTTGAGGCCTTGCTTTGCGGTGGGTAGTTTCTTGGCACATCCACCGTCTTTCCTTTCCATCAAAGAGGCCAACTCAAGCGTTCTGTGAACTCCGCTGTGCCTGGCCTAAAGATGGGGACCAAGGCTTTCGAAGCTGATGTATCATAATGTCGGCTTAGGGTTTAGGCCCGCAGAGTAAAGCAACTCTGGCCTGGGGGAATGAGGGAATGAGGTACCCCATATAATCCCTTAAAGGGTGTATGTTTTTTTATAGCTAGATAGGTAGAAAGATAGATAGGGGGAGCTCAAAATCAGGAGTCGGTTGTGTCCGCTTTTTTTCTGACGCAGATCAGGGCCGCGAACGCCCGCACGCATGCAACCCGTAGCGGCACGGCATCTTTAAGAGCCCTAAACCCCAAACCCCAAACCCCAAACCCTAAACCCTAAACCCTAAACCCTAAACCCTAAACCCTAAATAAACCCTACATCGAGTTGAAGCCATGATTGTTGCCGCCTGCAAGAGTTGAAGATGAGGAAGTGGCCATTGCGCGTTGTGCACCTTTTCCAGGTTGGCCTTTAAGGGTTTCGGGTTTAGGGTTTCGGGTTTAGGGTTTAGGGTTTCGCGTTTAAAGTCTTCCTTTTAATCGGTAGCCCGGTGGCACCCTTTTCCATTTTTGTGGTTCAAGGCTTCCCTTGTAAAGTAACCAACACCAAAAAAAGATGCCCCTTCTTATGATATGGTTACTGGGCTACCCAACTCAGAATTTAAAGGCCAACCTAGTGAGAAAGAATGCGGAGACTTGAGAAGCGCATTCGGTCATTTCTGTGTTGAGCTCTTTGTGTCCGTTGCAAGCCAACAAGCATATGTCCACAGCGGGGTCCCTTCTTGGCATCCTCATTACAAGGTCTGCCGTGTTATATAGTAGCTCAAAAAGGCACTTAAACCCTCAAACCCTTGTAGCAAGAGCCAAAGAAGGGACCCTTATCTAGAGAATGCAAGCATATACAAAAATCGCACGAATGTCAACCACTTTTTTTGCCTTGGAGCAACGCCCCTGGGTGACATTGGATGACATTGGGTGGAACCGTGTCACAGTTGATGGTGAGGGTTTAGGATTTAGATTTAGGGTTGCCATCGCGCCTCCATAGTCGTGTTCGCCAAAACCGGGCAAGCACGTGGGAGGATGCAAGGTGCTGTGACCCGTGTTTCGATTGACTGCGAGGTTTTGTTGCGATCCAAGTCCAAGCTACCCATATGAGCTTGGCTGGTGCAACTCTGTTCCCTTTCAGCTTGGGTATGTGAGAGGTGCCTGGGAGTATTGAACTTGATCAGACTGTATATTTCCAGGGCCGCCCCGAAACCCGAAACCCGAAACCCTAAACCCTAAACCCTAAACCCTAAACCCGTTTTGGAATCAAAGGGTCGCCTCCGTTTCCTGTGCCTTCGCAGCCCGAGCTCCATAGAATGACGTTGACAGCCACACAGATGTGCCTGCCGCCGTGTTTCCTTGGGAGCTGGGTAGGTAACCTTTAACCGTTTGGGTTACATAGAACCTTACTTTTTATATATATATATATACATAGATACAAATATATACATATATATATATATAGAATCTTGCAGATAAAAACATATATATATATATATATAAGGTTAGCCTTTTTGGGGCCTGGGCACTTCAGCCCCCTAAGTTTCAGATTCGAGTGCGGCCACAAGGGATGCAACAGTGCCATGGCCTGGATTTCTGCTCCTCTCGCAGGTAGAGTGTAATATAGGGTTTAGGGTTTAGGGTTTAGGGTTTAGGGTTTAGGTTTTAGGGTTTAGGTTTTCGGGTTTAGGGTTTAGGGGTCGGAATAATTTCGATAATAGTATTCGCTTACAGTCTCTTTGTATATATATATATATACAAACAAAGAACCCTCAAAACCCTATTCTAGTTATAAAGGCCCCTATATTGTGTAAGCTGAAAGAGTGGCCGGTGCCCTAAACCCTAAACCTTAAACCCTAAACCCTAAACAAACCCTAAACCTGGATGGCACCCACTGTGGCAAAGCGTGCGCTCCATCCCAGCTTCCTGCGCGGCGCGCAGCTGTCAACCTTTCTGTTGAACATTCGCTACTGTGCCTAAAGAACCCCACCACTACATGCAAAAGGTTACTCCCTATATTGCCCTTATAAGGAAGAATGTTTTTATTTTTTTTTCTTTTTTTTTTTTTGGGGGGGGGGGGGTGGGGTGTTCTTAAGCACATAGCAGTTCGGGGGTGTACATATTCTATTATGTCGAACGTGACTCGCATCGCATCATACGAATGTGACCTGAGTCTTGCCTGGGAGTCGCACGATTGTACGTGTGAGATCTGTGGGTCTGTGCTACGCGTGTGAAAGCAAGCCGTAAAATGCACAAGTGCACCCTCTCTGAACCCCGGACCCCTCCCCCAGCCCCATAGGGTTGCAGGTTTCGGGCTGCCCCTAAACCCTAAACCCTATAAGACCTAAACCCTTAGAAGCCCTAAACCCTAAACCCCAAGCCCTAATTAACCCGACACCCTAACCGCAAGCCCTAAACCCTAAACCCTACACCCCAAACTCCAAACCCTAAACCCTAAGCCCTCAGCCCTAAGCTCTAAACCCAAAACCCCAAACCCTAAACCCAAAACCCTGACCCTAAACCCTAAACCTAAACCCTAAGCCCTCAGCCCTTAACCCTAAACCCTAAACCCTAACCCTAAAACCCTTAACCCTATACCCCTCCCAAGCCGACGCCCCAAACCAGCCAAGGAAAGCTGGCAAGGCGGCCTTTGAGGCCTCCACGAAAGCTGGGCTCACGAAGGCGCCATGGTTTAAGGGTTTAGGGTTTATGGTTTAGGGTTTAGGGTTTAGGGTTTAGGCTTAGTAGCTGAGTGGGCACACTTTACACTTTTTGGGATACTATATTCTCCCCTATAGAACTGAAAGTGTACACTTTCTTGGGGAGCTTATGAACTCAGCAACTAAGGAGGGCTTATAGAAATTGTATATGGTTCAGGTCTCAATAACTTTTTGACCGACAGTTTTGACCGAAGGTTTTCACCGAAACGTTTTGACTTTCGGAGCCCAGCTTCAAATCGACGCTACCTAGGGTTTAGGGTTTAGGGTTTGTAGAAATCGTATAGGGTTTGGGTCCCAAACAGTTTCCAGCGAATCGTTGTGAGCGAAACGTTTTGCGCGGAAAGTTTTGCGCGACACCCTAAACCCTAAACCCCAAACCCCAAACCCTAAACCCTAAATCCTAAACCCTAAACCCTAAACCCTATTTTTTCAAAGCCTATTATGATTTTTTGGGCGGCCCGGAGAAGTGGGGGGAGGGAGGGTTTAGGGTTAGGGTTTAGGGTTTAGGGTTTAGGGTTTAGGGTTTAGGGTTTAGGGTTTAGGGTTTAGGGTTTAGGGTTTAGGGTTTAGGGTTTAGGGTTAGGTTTAGGGTTTAGGGTTTAGGGTTTAGGGTTTAGGGTTTAGGGTTTAGGGTTTAGGGTTTAGGGTTTAGGGTTTAGGGTTTAGGGTTTAGGGTTTAGGGTTTAGGGTTCAGGGTTCAGGGTTTAGGGTTTAGGGTTTAGGGTTTAGGGGTTTGCAGAGTCATGTTAGGGTTTACAACCCTTCTTAAACTTAGATCCCTTCAGGGTTTGGGGGCTTATGGTTTTGGGATCGCAATTTGCTTCAGAGCTTTTTCAATCTTCGGGCTATCGGTTGGCTGAATGGCGTGAGAACCAGGTGGTCCACATACCCCTATAGGATCTACTTGGGCCTTAACGAGTTGTAGCATTAGGGCCCAAGTGTATACCATATCGGTACATGGACCCTAAACCCTAAACCCTAAACCCTAAACCCTAGACCCTAGACCCTAAACCCTAAAATTCCCGAGGGCCGTAGCAGGAGCGCACACAAGGAACCCCGATCAGACCTCCAAGCCTCCCAAACCCTAAGCCCTAAAGCTCCTGAACCCTATAGGGCCCTAAACCTCAAGCTCCTAAACCCTAAACCCTAAACCCTAAACCCTAAACCCTAAACCCTAAACCCTAAACCCTTACAAAACTCGTGAACCAAGCTCTGATTCCTATAGGTTTGAGGATCTTACATAGGGTTATGTTAGGGCTCAGGGCTTACCCCTGAACCCTGGAGCTCCTGGAGCCCAATCTCTGTAACCCTAAAGCTCCGAAAAACTAAAAGCCGAAAACCAAAACCCTAGACCCTAGACCCTAAACCCTAAACCCTAAACCCTAAACCTCTAAACCCTAAACCCCTAAAACCTTTAACCCCTAAACCCCTAAAGTCCAGAGGACCAGGCGGCACTGGAAGCAGCGCGCGCTGCCGCTCGCACCGCAGCAGCCGCTGCGTCGACTTCAGGCGCGGGGTCTGTACACAATGTGAAGTGAAGAGGGGTTTAGGGTTTAGGGGTTTAGGGGTGTAGGTGTTTAGGGGTGTGGGGGTGTGGTGGTTTAGGGTTTTAGAGGTGTGGGGGTTTTAGGGGTGTAGGGGCTTAGGGGTTTCGGGTTTGGGGTAGGGCTTCTACGGGTTTGTAAGGAGGGTTACCTGGGGCTTTCCGGCTTGGGGCCTTTTCACTTACCGTCTTAAGGGCTTTGATCTTTTAAGGATTTTGGGCTCTCGAGTTTTGGGCTCTAGGGATCTCGGGTTTATGATTT